GGATGGATGGATGGATGGATGGATGGATGGATGGATGGATGGATGGATGGATGGATGGATGGATGGATGGATGGATGGATGGATGTCCCCTTTAGTCTGGGCTTTTTCCCACTTCTCTGATAGAATTTCAACTGGGCCAATCAGAAGGAGGAGTTTTGAATGATGACATCGATGACAATAAAYATAAGTCTGATGAAATGAGACACCAGCATTATTCTTGTTATAATCCTAACATATTTAACAAATTTAAAGCAATTGAATGAGTTCATATATATTGTCACCACAAGTATGTATTTTTTTTTTTTTTGGTTCCCAATTTTTGGTGAATGCTTAAGAATATGAATGGTAAAAAATGCTTTCATCCTAACAAATTATTTTTCCAACGAGGCAGAGGTTTAAAAAAAGTGAACTTGTCTGAAGTTCCTCTCACACAATGACTACTGAAGATAGTCAGCAGCTCCACCCTAACCCAGAAAGGAAAAACCTGATAAAATAAAATAGATGGGTGGAAAAAACAAAGTCTAGGTCRAGCATTTCAATCTATAACTGAAGCACAAAAACTCAACAAAAATGTTTCAAACTGCCAGAGTGTCTTTTCTTTAGCTACTTTTAGAAACTAATTATATTTATCAGGTTAGACAATTAGGAATTAAGATGATATCAATTTAGAGTTTTACAGCAATATTTTTTTTCAGTTAACTTGTCACTGTGTGTGATAGAAGGACCCAAATGCAGGCAAGGAGATACTGGCCAATAAATAAATAAATAAATAAATACTGAAAACCAAGAGAGATTCAGAAAGCTGAAGAACAATAAACAGGACTGAACATGGGCTGAATAATCTCACAATCAGCAGGTGAAACTCAAGAAAACAGAWAACAAAAAGCAAAACTACCTCAGCATTTGTATGAATTGAGGGGAACAACAGACTAACATCTCGCTATGTTTTTTGTTCCTTTCTTTATATAGTTTTTCTTCAATCACACATTTTGCTCAAAAGCACTGAMATATCATGCTGTACCATGAGGTAAAACTTCCACGCTATCAGCATATCAAAATACAGAGAAATAATAAACAAAAGTATTTTTTACTGATACTTTTTCAAGTTTTCTCTCAGTTATAACCTATTTCAACACACAGTCAAATGCGAGATGAAGAAAAATCTGCAAAATAAGCTCTAAATCGGTTTATTTTAAGGRCATGTATTAATGTCATTGTTTTTGGAAAATGTTGGTATCTTTTATCTACATAAAAACCCTTTTTCAATTTGTAAATTGTTTTAAAAATATTGTGTTTTCTTCACTAAAACCTCCACTTTTGTGTCAATGAGACTTGCAAAGAGCAGGAGAAAATATCTAATTTGAAAATATATGTATTTGTAATAGTGTAAAGAGGGTCCCACTCCTGGGCAGGTGTGCTGATTAGCAAATTGGAAGCAGGTGTGCAGGAGAGCAGAAAGCAAGACAAACTGAAACCGATTTCTGACTAAACARCAGATATATTGAATCAAACTGACTCCAGATAATTTTAATTTGTGTTAACAAATACCTGTGTGAACTTGTTGAATTTAAACACATTCMATCATGTGAAAAAAAATAAAATTGTTCATTAAATTAAATATATTCTGATTGTTATGTTGAATATTTAAACATACACACATGACATCAGTGATAAACTGTTGGGAATGCTAAATGTGTTACAAGTAGTTTGAAGAGTGAAAACATAAATATCACTTACTCTGTATAACTAGAAGCAGTTTTTTTTTGTACCGGGGGCTTTAACACAATATTGATGGTTTCTAGGCTGTTTGAATATCCACTTGTCCTAAGCAGCTCCTTGGCTAGCACTTTGTACCCGTCTACACTTTCAGTTCTCTTTTCCCCCAGTGGTCCCCTTTTTATCAGGCTCTTGACTTAAAAAGTGTTATTTTTAGACTTGCTTTAATTCTAAAGGTTTTCTAGTGAAAAGGGAAGAAACTTGTTTTTAAAAAGAGGACCCTTATTTTCCCTCTGCAACACAGTAGAGCTGCTCCACAACACAGTCAGCACAGTGTTTCCACTTGCCCCTCAAAGGACATCAAAACTGTCAAAAACATCTMTTTTCTTCTAACCTTCCTTTCTTTTCATCAAACTTGGCAAACTTCCAAGAATGACCAAACACATTTTAAAATGATTTGGACAATGAGGATGTGCTTCCCTCTTATTTTACAAAAAAAAAACTTCTGTAATTCTATGTTTGTTCTTTTAATAAATGCTGATGTGCTGTATCATATAACAAACCTCATCAACAAGAGTCAAGGTCTCACCTCCTAAATGCTTTAATCACCAGAAAACATTTAACCTTTGTGTCTGCTACGCCAAGCTTTCATAACTCCAATCCCACTGAAAGCAAATCCCGCCACATCCATTGTCTTTTCCCTCCCAAGCTGAAACCTAAAATACCTAGCTTTGTATGTTCCCACACTCTAACCGGGCCTAAAATCCTAAAGGAGTAATCCAATGATTTTTATTTTTTTCACTTAAGAACACCATTTTCGTAATTGTTTCATAAATTATGTTTTCCAGTACATTTACTTCATATGGATAATTAATTTCTGTTTTACCCTTTTCACACTGATTTTGATCACAGAAACGGTGGAAAACAAATGAGTGTGGGTTTTTCCCCACAGCTTCTCACAATCAAGCTTTTAGCTGTATCAAAATATGATGCCTTTAYATTTAAAAGTATAGGTGATAATTCACCTTATAAATTCTGACAGTCATGATGGGCAYATTCCAAAACAGTGTAGACTGGAATTATAAAGAGGATGCAACAATAATGGTGTAGTCTAGATAGTATAAATAGTAAATTCTCAAACTGTGGGACACGACCTCTTGGGTAGGGGGTGTGCCATAACAGGGGCCATGGGCACATTTTTTCAGTCCTAATACAGCTGAAGGCAGAGCTGATGCTTCAATATTGTTGCAACTCTGACTTATTTTTGTGCGACACAAATCATTCGTATGTGCGATTAAACACGGAAAATGTTTATGGGCGGCATGTTGCACCATGTGTTCACTTTTTATTCTTCAGATGATGCACAATATAGATAGACACAAAGACAAAGAATAAATGTATTTCTCTTTCTAATGGTGAAATTAATGATGGTTGAGGTGGGCTAACCTGAGTGGGACATCTGATGTAGATGTGTACCAAGCTTTAAAATAAAAATGAGATTTTCCCAAACCATCAAACAAACAAAAATAAAAAAACATAAAATTAGAATAACCACAAAGGCCTAAATACTCTGACAAAATGACATTAGCCCTCACTTTTAAAGTATTTAATATTTCTGCTGAAATACCTGTTCATGTTTTGTTTTTCACAGATTGATCTGCATTGTTTTCCTTTTTAAAGATAATGCTATGATAGCACATTYTTTGCAGCCATAATTTGTGTGATTTTGAACTCATTACTTTTCAGGTTTCTGTGCACATATTAGATAATATATTTTTTGTCTTAAAAGTGGTAAAAAGTTTTGTTTTCTTTCTATTTTTTTGAATAATTGGAGGCTTGTTAAGTTCACGGGATTTTCGCTTAGTTCAAACTTTCACATGATAAACCTCAGGCTTTTTTTTTTTGTTTTAGTCAATGAAAACACTTTTTCTTTCACTTTCAATGCATACATTTTACTTGGATATAACATAAACATGTTTGGGAAAAAAACGGTTGACATTCACTGAGAAGACCCAAAGCACAACAGCAGTAGTTGTTTTTCATTCTTGCGGCTAAAAACAGCAGCTTATTAGCTTCAAAATCTTGTTGAGGCCACATTATCATTTCACAAGGTACAAACAGAAGGCAGCAGCACTGTCCTTTGGTCCGGATGACTCAAGTATTCATCAAAAACCTCTGCTCTCCCATGAGCCTACCGCCATATGCTGCTGGAAAATGTCACCAGTAAAAGTCAGAATAATCCACTGATTTCTGAGCTGCACCTGATTGTCGTCTTTTCCTGGCAATGCTGGGAACAGCCTCTCTCATTCAAGTTGTTTGTTAAGCATGAGACACAATGATGACTGTTCACAGCAAAAGGAAAAAACATTTCTGTGTCAAATTATTTGACTGTAAGAGGTGAGTAAGTGTTTGTACCAAATGGATAAAATTATAACAACTTTTTCTTTTGTGAAAGTTTTTAAGAAGCGCAGCTGCACAAAAACAAATTAAACAACTTGTGTTAAGAAGTTGCACAAAAAAATCTTTCTCATCAAATAATACTTGTGGTATTCAAAAAGGGACTCACTTCATGGTTTTTCAGAATAAAGATTTAATAAGCTGGCAGAGTGCAGAGGTTTTGTGCAACCACAGTAAAGTATGTGATTAATGCTTTTAGAGCTTCGGCATCAAAACGTTCAGATCCACAAACTTTGGTTTTCAATATCATAGAGTCTTCTGTAAATGCAAAGAGGCCTTAGGTCGGCCGTCTGGGCATTTTATTAAACTGTACAAACAAGARCATCTTTAGTGAGAGATGAACACATAACCAAAATGTTTTTTTCACTCAGACAGAAAAGAATTGTGACTCCAACTTCACAAGGCAGTGACTTTTCTCAACTGACAGCATTAAGTTTTGTAATAATCACAGGTTCAAATCATCTGTCAACTCAGTATATTTAGATTAGTACATATTTTTTTATTCACACTCTCCTGTTTGACAGACAG